AGTACAGTGTGAATATAGATGGGTGTAGATGGGATGTGTGGAGTACAGTGTGAATATAGATGGGATGTGTGGAGTACAGTGTGAATATAGATGGGATGTGTGGAGTACAGTGTGGATATAGATGGGATGTGTGGAGTACAGTGTGAATATAGATGGGATGTGTGGAGTACAGTGTGAATATAGATGGGTGTAGATGGGATGTGTGGAGTACAGTGTGAATATAGATGGGATGTGTGGAGTACAGTGTGAATATAGATGGGATGTGTGGAGTACAGTGTGAATATAGATGGGTGTAGATGGGATGTGTGGAATACAGTGTGAATATAGATGGGTGTAGATGGGATGTGTGGAGTACAGTGTGGATATAGATGGGTGTAGATGGGATGTGTGGAGTACAGTGTGAAGATAGGGTGTGTGGTTACCTGAGGTGGTCTGGCTCGTTGTACTGCCCTCCATGGGGTGACGGGGTTAGGGTGGCTGTGGACTGATGGCTAAAGGACATACCAGAAGGGGAGGAGGCTGCCCCTCTGATCGGGGGCGTGGGACACCTATCCATCTCCTCCTCCACCTCCTCCACCTCCTCTTCCTCCATTTCATCTGGGTGCAGATACATCCGCGAGGGGAGCATTGGACAGACTGAATCTGGGTTATAGCTCTTTTCCATGGGCAGGGTGTACTCATCACAGCTCCAGCTGGGCGGGGGGTTGACAGGGGGAGGTGGCAGAGGATCAGCCCAGTTCACTATGTTGGTTTTGGGTAGTTTGGGTGCGCGGGTTCCCTTCTTATGGCCTTGGCTCCCTGCAGAGACATTCAGAACTCTACAAATGTTTCACAGATCAAAACACATATTTTGCCCTAGATCTACATGAAGTCCTACATTTGCTAGAATTACTGTGCTCAGGTTCTCACCAGAGGTGCTGTGGCTGCCCCGGTCAGAGCTGTGTTGGGATCCTCCTGTGTTGTGGTCAGGTAGATGGTTGTAAGGTATGGTGCCAGGGTGGGGCACATCTCCTCTCAACTGGTCTGAGGACAGAGTTAAGCAGATACTGGAGGTTGACTGCAGACAGTGACACCATCCAAGACTACAGTCTCTGTACACGACCAGTCCTCACCTTGATTCACCCTGTTGTTTTGCTCCATCATGTTGTACTGCATCTGTGCTTTCTGCAGCTGTGAGGGGGTCTGGTTCCATCGGAGGTCTGAAGCCCCGGGCGTAGACTTGTTCAGGATGTTGGATTGGATGAGCTGAGTGGTGGCGTAGGGGGTGGGCTCATAAGGTGTGGGTGGACCTCCACCTGGTCCCTGATAGCACATGCTGGGGTTGTTGAAGGTCTTCAGCTCGTTGAGTTTGTTGGTGAGGTCCACGTCACTGTAAACTGCCTGGTCAGGTCCCAGTAGACCACCATGCTGTTTCTCCAGCTGGCTGCCATAGTTGGCAATGCAGTCAGCTAGAGAGACCACACTAAGTTAGGACACCTCTCACATGATATCACTCTCTACCTTGTTTAGAGAGACCACACTAAGTTAGGACACCTCACACATAATATCACTCTCTACCTTGTTTAGAGAGACCACACTAAGTTAGGACACCTCACACTTGATATCACTCTCTACCTTGTTTAGAGAGACCACACTAAGTTAGGACACCTGAGAACAGGTGTAGTGGTAACATCACTAATCTGACCTGAGAACAGGTGTAGCGGTAACTAACCTGGGCGGCTGTAGGTGGTCATGTTGCTGTCACTGGTGCCGTCTCCGTTGTTGCAGCAGTTGATACTACAGTCTTTGTGATTGGCACAGGAGTTGGGCCAGGAGTCAGCCAACCACGGCTGGTTAACGCCCTCCCCCATGTTCAACAGACCGGGTCTGAACCAGAAACACACAACAGAACCACATTTTAGAGGTCCTGTCATCACTGTTCCAGTCAGGGGGTTGGAGATGGATATGTTTTTCCAGTTATAACACAGGGAGACATCTCCCTCTGGTGGTTGAAATAGGAAACACACTCATATTGCATTTCCCATTTCGTTGTACTTCATCTGTGTAAAAGCATTCTATTAAAAAAGCATTCTATTAACACGTACCGTCCAGCACTGCACACTGACTCTCCCCCTCTCTGGTAGGCAACTGAAATTAAGAAAATACATGTGTGAAAGATATACCCAAACCATCAGCATGACAAATGAAGGAGGAGCTGTCTGTCACTTTGTTCTCAAGTCCTTTCATCAGTCTGGCTCAGCACCCACAGACACAATGAAACCCCACACATATGAAACCCCACACCTAACACATGCCACTATATGAGGTGTACTAACACAAACATATGAAACCCCACACCTAACACACTCCACTATAGGAGGTGTACTAACACAAACATATGAAACCCCACACCTAACACACGCCACTATAGGAGGTGTACTAACAGAAACATGTGAAACCCCACACCTAACACACTCCACTATATGAGGTGTACTAACACAAACATATGAAACCCCACACCTAACACACTCCACTATATGAGGTGTACTAACACAAACATATGAAACCCCACACCTAACACACGCCACTATATGAGGTGTACTAACACAAACATGTGAAACCCCACACCTAACACACGCCACTATATGAGGTGTACTAACACAAACATATGAAACCCCACACCTAACACACGCCACTATAGGAGGTGTACTAACACAAACATATGAAACCCCACACCTAAAACACTCCACTATATGAGGTGTACTAACACAAACATGTGAAACCCCACACCTAACACACGCCACTATATGAGGTGTACTAACACAAACATATGAAACCCCACACCTAACACACGCCACTATAGGAGGTGTACTAACACAAACATGTGAAACCCCACACCTAACACACGCCACTATAGGAGGTGTACTAACACAAACATATGAAACCCCACACCTAACACACGCCACTATATGAGGTGTACTAACACAAACATATGAAACCCCACACCTAAAACACTCCACTATATGAGGTGTACTAACACAAACATGTGAAACCCCACACCTAACACACGCCACTATATGAGGTGTACTAACACAAACATATGAAACCCCACACCTAACACACGCCACTATAGGAGGTGTACTAACACAAACATGTGAAACCCCACACCTAACACACGCCACTATAGGAGGTGTACTAACAGAAACATGTGAAACCCCACACCTAACACACGCCACTATAGGAGGTGTACTAACACAAACATGTGAAACCCCACACCTAACACACGCCACTATAGGAGGTGTACTAACACAAACATATGAAACCCCACACCTAACACACGCCACTATAGGAGGTGTACTAACACAAACATGTGAAACCCCACACCTAACACACGCCACTATAGGAGGTGTACTAACACAAACATATGAAACCCCACACCTAACACACGCCACTATAGGAGGTGTACTAACACAAACATGTGAAACCCCACACCTAACACACTCCACTATATGAGGTGTACTAACACAAACATATGAAACCCCACACCTAACACACTCCACTATAGGAGGTGTACTAACAGTCATTAACCCCACACCTAACACACGCCACTATAGGAGGTGTACTAACAGTCATTAACCCCACACCTAACACACTCCACTATAGGAGTGTACTAACAGTCCCCACACCTAACACACGCCACTATAGGAGGTGTACTAACAGTCATTAACCCCACACCTAACACACGCCACTATAGGAGGTGTACTAACAGTCATTAACCCCACACCTAACACACGCCACTATAGGAGGTGTACTAACAGTCATTAACCCCAATCCGATCAGGCAGATCCTCTCTAGTGAGAAGTGAGTCACCACAACTGCATGATTAGATAGACCATAATAGAGGCATAGAGTGGAATAGAGTGGATGTAGTGGACAAGTAGGAACATGGGGCTCTGTGCTTCATGTTTGGACTGAAGGTGAAGGAGGGGACAGAGACACTACAGAATAGCAAGAGATGGAACATGAGTGAATAATTGTGAAGGTCTTGAATACATACCAGTGGGGGTGAAGGTGAAGGATGGAACTGCACAGGACAAACACAGGAAGTAAAAAGAGAAACGGACGTTCGTTATTAATTACAAATTAGCATTTTTCACACACGCACGCACGCACACACACACACACACACACACACACACACACACACACACACACGCACGCACACGCACACACACACACACGCACACACACACGCACACACACACACGCACACGCACACACACAGACACATAGACACACAGACACACACTTGATTCAGCTACACTACATTCCACTGTGGCCAAAGAAACAAGTGGCCTTATGGGTAATTGATGTCACACCTGGAGTCAGAGAAGATAACAATAATAACAGAACATGTGACACCTGGATGACCCTAGTCCCTAGTCTCACTGGGGATGGAGAGGTGCGAGAAACAGGTGCTAGGAGGAGGCGCTAAGAGGAGGCGCTGGGAGGAGGCGCCTTGGAATACATCCTAAATGTCAGTGTTTGAATGTCAGCCTAATCTGGGATGTGCCAGGCAGGCGTCGGCTCGTCACAACACTTTGAGGTCTTTGAATCAAGGGAGAAGATTAGACCATTTTTTAATTTCTCTGTTATATGTTGTTATCAAGTTCCTGTGTGCTTTGTGGATAAAAGCTGCTAACAACTGGTCAGTCAAAGGTCCTGGCTATTAGATAAAAACACACGTAATGCGATTGAAAGCCATTTACTGTGTGTCACAGAGGACATTGTTCTGTGTCTAACCTGTGTGTCAGCGGTCACCTAAACAACCAGGACACCAGAATTCAACCTAATCACCTCCCAGTCTCCCTTTATATAATCACCATCACCGTGACCCCTCCCTCTAATCTCTTCACAACAACATAAAAGCTGGTTCTGATCAAGCTGTTATCTTATACAATAACCTTTATTTAACCAGGTAGGCCGATTGAGAACAAACTCTCATTTCCAACGGTGACCTGGGGAGAAGGTGGGGTTTGAAGCCAGGACATCATACATACAAAGCATGTACTCTACCACTGAGATACCAAATGCTCCTGAAATATACAGCAACTGACCCATACACATATACACACATATAGACACATATATATTCATATACACATACACACACATATAGACACATATAGACACATATATATTAATATATACATATAAACACATATACACACATATATACACACATATATAGACACATATATATTCATATACACATACACACACATATATACACATATATATATTCATGTATACATATAAACACATATACACACACACATGTATATTTACATACATACGGTCCTCTTACCTTTACGGATTCCGGCGTAGCTGCTGCTGAGGCCGTTCCTCTTCTTACGGTGACGGTACAGCCACACACTGAACACCATAAGAATTACCCAGCAGGTGGCGCCGATACCCGCTATAAATGCTGGTTGCTTGACCACGTCTGAGATGTGAGAGAGGGTGTCCTGGTCAGCGTGACTGTCCATCATCTGACCGGTGGAGTCTGGTGGAGACAGGACGCACAGGTGATGAGTACATATAATAACACAATTATATAATAATAATAATAATATAATAATAATAATAATAAAAATATAATAATAATATAATAACACAATTATATAATAATAATATAATTTAATAATAATAATAAAAATATAATAATAATAATAATAAAAATATAATAATAATATAATAACACAATTGTATCATAGTAATAATAATATAATAATAATAATAATATAATAACACAATTATATAATAATAATAATAATAATATAATAATAATAATATAATAACACAATTGTATAATAATAATATAATAATAATATAATAACACAATTATATAATAATAATATAATTTAATAATAATAATAATAATAAAAATATAATAATAATATAATAACACAATTATATAATAATAATAATAATATAATTTAATAATAATAATAATAATAAAAATATAATAATAATATAATAACACAATTGTATCATAATAATAATAATATAATATAATAATAATATAATAACAATTGTATAATAATAATATAATAATAATATAATTAGATAATAATAATAATAATAATAATAATAATAATAATATAATAATAATAATAATAACACAATTGTATATAATAATAATAATAATAATATAATATAATAATTATAATATAATAATAATATAATAACACAATTAGATAATAATAATAATAATAATAATAATAATAATAATAATATAATAATAATAATAATAACACAATTGTATAATAATAATAATAATAATATAATATAATAATTATAATATAATAATAATATAATAACACAATTGTATAATAATAATAATATAATAACACAATTATATAATAATACTATAAAAACACAATTATATAAAATAATATAAAAACACAATTATATAATAATAATACAATAACACAATTATATTATATTAATATAATAGCACAAATATTTAATAATAACATAATAATACAATTATATAATAATAATATAATAACACAATTATATAAAAATAATATAATAACACAATTTTATAATAATAACATAATAACACAATTGTATAATAACTGACTCATAAAGTCCCAGCCAATCATAAGGCCACTTCCTGACTGATAAAGTCCCAGCCAATCATAAGGCCACTTCCTGACTGATAAAGTCCCAGCCAATCATAAGGCCACTTCCTGACTGATACACAGGAGGCTATCAGGTGGTAACTGAAGTTGACCGGCTCACCAAATTGAAAAAAGGTGACATCACTCTTGACCCCGGGCCCGGCGGCGTTGCTGGCGGCGACCTCAACACTGTAGCGTATCCCGGGCGACAGGCTGGGGATCAGCACAGAGAACGTAGAGCCATCTACAGTCCGGTTGACGTGGTAACGGCTCTCGTTGCCCAGGCACCAGATCTGAGGACGGGGAAGAGACGGGCAGGTGTTTTTAAGAAGAGTTTTGTGATTCAGGTTAAAATATGTACAAGCGAAACAAACAGATGTTTAGGACTCTGATAAATACTTAATCTACTGTATACAGAGATATCAGATATTAAATGTGTGCCCATGTCTCTCTTTTCTGTAGGAGGACAACTCCCTTGGTCTCACCTTGTACTCCTGTACCATTCCGTTTTGTTCGTCCTCAGGAGGCGGTTGCCAGGCGATCAGGATGGCCGTCCTATTGATGTGGCTCTTGGTTACAGTCACGCCCCTTGGTGCTCCACTGGGGGCTGCGAGACAAACACACTGTCAGTCACACACACTCGTGATGTTATCAATGTACCCAACTCTCATTGGTTTCTACTGTTTTCAGAGAGATGCTGAGTAGAGACCAGCACACTGTCAGTCACACACACTGTACTGTGATGTTCTCTGATGTCATTTCTAACCCCCTAACCCTGACCCCAACCCTAACCCTAACCCTGACCCCAAACCCTGACCCCAACCCCTCCCCCCTAACCCCAACCCTAACCCTAAACCGGACCCCAACCCTGAGCCCAAACCCTAACCCTGTGCCCAAACCCTAACCCTGAGCCCAAACCCTGACCCCAACCCTCACCCTAACGCCCTAACCCTGACCCCAACCCTGACCCCAACCCCTGACCGCAACCCTTACCCTAACGCCCTAACCCTGACCCTGACCCCAACCCCCAACCCTGACGTCTTACCTTCCTCCAGAGTCCGGACCACCTTCACCTCACTGTCTGCTCCCTGGAACTCATCAAAGAAGGGACGCACTTTGAACTCGTAGGTGACCCCCTTCTTCAGCTGCGGCACCACGGCGCCATCTTCTCCATGGGTCCGTACCTCAAACACCCCCCACTGCCCCCCCGGCTGGCCCAGGTCAGCCGACGCCCTGTACATCACTTTGTAGCCCTGGATATACGGAGACTGCTGCTCCACCTGGTGGTGGAGAAGAGAAGCACACTTTAACATGTATTTGTCTGAGCGGTAAACACAATAAGTAGTGTGATGACAATGTGTTGGTGCCGCACTCAAAACAGAACTCTTATGTAAATGGAATTATGACATTCTGGTCGCCATAGATGTTTAAAATTATGCACTTCTAACCAAAACAGTGTCAAAGTAACAACCTGTCAATTCATGGCACCAGTGTTAAGTCATTATACCAGCAATATATAGCACCAAACTCCCAGATAGATGGGCCTCAAATTAACATAGAAGATACGGCAAGGGAACTTAGTCTGTCACAAGCAATTAATTAGTGGGCAAAGGTTCAAGACGTGTTACCGTTTTTAATAGTACCATGTTAGTACAGAACATTTAATAGTGCCATGTTAGTACCGAACATTTAATAGTACCATGTTAGTACAGAACATTTAATAGTACCATGTTAGTACAGAACATTTATTAGTACCATGTTAGTACAGCTCATTTAATAGTACCATGTTAGTACAGAACATTTATTTGTACCATGTTAGTACAGAGCATTTAATAGTACCATGTTAGTACAGTGCATTTAATAGTACCATGTTAATAGTACATTGGTCATATGAGTACGATGTCCTTCCAAGCATGTTGAACAAAGCAACCTTCACAAGCTCTGGCCAAAGGGAAGCTGTCTTCCTGCCGGCTGCCTCTCAGCCAAACTATTTCCACTCTGGCTCTATTCAGATGTGGGTATCTACCTCACAAATAAACTCCCCCTTCAGCATTTTCATTTGGGTAGGGTGGGGAAATGTCAGACGATGTTTAAACACACTCTCTCACAGTCCACCGTCTAAACTCACTCTGTCAGCACAGGTGTTCCTGATTACGCCACTAGTTACACATCCTACCAACAGATTTCCACAGCTGATTAAACAGCCCTGTCCAGCACCTCCCTGTCCAGCACCTCCCTGTCCAGCACCTCCCTGTCCAGCACCTCCCTGTCCAGCACTTCTCTGTCCAGCACCTCCCTGTCCAGCACTTTTCTATCCAGCACCTCTCTGTCCAGCACCTCCCTGTCCAGCACCTCCCTGTCCAGCACCTTCCTGTCCAGCACTTCTCTGTCCAGCACCTCCCTGTCCAGCACCTCCCTGTCCAGCACCTCCCTGTCCAGCACCTCCCTGTCCAGCACCTCCCTGTCCAGCACCTCCCTGTCCAGCACCTCCCTGTCCAGCTCCTCTCTATCCAGCAACTCTCTGTCCAGCACCTCCCTGTCCAGCACCTCCCTGTCCAACACCTCCCTGTCCAGCACCTCCCTCTCCAGCTCCTCTCTATCCAGCACCTCCCTGTCCAGCACCTCCCTGTCCAGCACCTCCCTGTCCAGCACCTCCCTGTCCAGCACCTCCCTGTCCAGCACCTCTCTGCCTGCAGACTCTATGTGGTCCCTGGACTCTTATTTGTCTAGTGTGTAAAAGCATCTGGCCCTGGGTTCTACTCACCGTCCACTGCACCCTGACAGAGGAGGAGGAGAGGATGGTAGGGTTGTGCAGAATGACCACCACGTCCCCCAGCTCCCTCTGGATCTGCCTGTGGTCCACCCCCTGGCTGGTGGGAGGAGTGTCTGTATGGGAACAGAGGCAGTCAACCACTAATTCTCATCACCCAGCCAGCTGGTTCTGACATCAACATGACTTAGTGGATGTCTGCCAGAGGACAGGTTGGTCTCACCTTGTGTCCTGACCGCGTCTGTAATGGGGCTGGGGTCACTGAGACCGTAGGCGTTAGCTGCCCTCACCAGGAACAGATAAACAGCCCCGGGCTTCAGGTTCTTTAGGACAAATGCCTCCGTCTTCACGTGGTCGGCCAGAGTCACCCAGCTGTTCCCAGACACGTGACTTTACAGAGACCAGAGGACACACAGTGAATTTCTCATAATTATATTCATATAGAATAAGTACGGCCTGGCACACACAACATGACACACAGCTCTGCTAGAATTACCTGAACGCCTCAATGACGTATGAGGTGGGCGTGGCCCCAGTGGTCAGGTTGGGTTTCCAGGACAACGTGACAGAGGCGCGGCTGACGTCTGTCACGTCGGGTTTGGACGGGGCACTGGGGATCAGGTTTGGATCTGTGGGTC